CTCTGTGTGTGTGTGTGTGTGTGTGTGTGTGTGTGTGTGTGTGTGTGTGTGTGTGTTCCTTTTCCACCTCCTCTTCTCCCATTTACTCTCTGTCAGTAACCCCATGAACAAAGATGCATGGAGTCTGGTGGATGCTTGCCCTGCTTTTCAGGAGGTCTGGAAGTGGTCAACAACTTTTATGCATGTGTCTAGCTTGTGCAAGGAAATGAGCAATGCAAATGACTGTAAACCAGATTGCAGCATTCCATAGAAATCCGGGTAAAAAACCGAGATAACACCAAATAAGTATGAGCAAAGCATCGAAGTCACATGATAAGGAAAGCCGTCTTCTCGCCTCCCATCACCAATGTCAACAATGTAGCTCTTCTACATTGGCGCGAGGCGCCCAGACAATAGACAGACAGCTCCTACGACCTGGACTCCTATCTACAATAGGTCCTCTATGGAGATCATCATCCTGATGTATGCATAAAGACACCGATCGAACGGTCTGCTTCTCTTCCACCAGGTGAGTGCTTTGTCACATCGCCCCCTCTCCACGACTTCCACTTCCCACAGCCGATCGCCCAGGGTCACCGCTTTCCTCGAATGGCTGGCCGCCAGTTCAGCATGGCTATGTCAAAAGCTGTTGTGTCACAACTGTGCACAACAAATCTTTATGCTGTTTTGAGGTTTTCTGGGCTAGCAGGCTGGCCACCCGGGCAGCCGGAGCGTCTGGCTGCCTGGTTTGTCCAGCTCGGGTCCGGGCAAGGTCCTGGCCAAAGTCTCAGGCAGCCTCAGCACAAAATAGAGATTTTCAAAGAAAATCTGAAAATCTAAAAAGAACATGTCTTGTAGAATAACTAATCAAACTTCCCTTCTTTTTTTCATTTTTTCAAATTTTTATAACAAAAGCAGGTCCTTATGGCCCTGGCTCCATATCCATTCTGGGGAGAGTAAGTCCGGTTCCTATTCCACGGGCAAGTCAAAATTTACAATCTGCACAGACTCACACTTCGTTCCGTCTGGCCGAAGGATCCCTGAATGGCACTGATTGCTCCAGCAGTATGGAGGATTGACGGTCAGCTTGCCTGCCTTCTACCTTTCCTCTCAAGTCCAGCTAGCTGGGCCTGTCACATTTGTCGCTAGACATTAGAAAGTGATAAGCGAGGAGGAGCAAACAGTCTCCGCCTTTGTAGGTTCAATGCCATGTGCCATGGTATTCACGTGGCGTGTAGTGGAGCTTGCCGGTCTCTGTCTTCTCAGTCCCGCTTTTGAGTTGTGCCACTCTTTCTTTCCATCATATGTTGGGAATCGCTTATGTATGCTGCCTTGCCAACCAAACCTTTGTGAAATTTTCTACCGTTCTCTGCTGCTGTTCCACATCGTCCGTCATGGAGTGTCTTATCTTCTTCTGCCACTCACAGAGTCTCTGCCTGAATCAGTGTCCTTGTCTCCGCCCAAACTTTCTCCCTTGGTGTTGAAAGACTTTCAAAGGTTCTGCTACACCTTTCCTTCCATATAGACCAGAGTATTACCTTTGTGGGCGGGAATGCTAGTCCGTAGGATAGGAGGAGTTGGATGGGCTTGTTCAGGAAGGGGGGTCGGGAAAAGAAAATCCTAGAGGTTTGATGCCCTGGCCCAGGGGACTTCTGAATAATGGGGCAGAAAGAACAGCTCTGAACAACTTTGTGCTCCGGAAAGTAAGGGTACTGGGGCCGGCATCCTAGCAGAAGCAAAAATCTCAGAACCAGTGTACTCATGCACAAATATAATCTCCTCGGTTAAAACCGAGAATCCGGATCTCCTAATTAAAAATAGAGGGTTGAGGCTGATCGGCCAGGAAGCCACCCAGATTTTGCAAGTACCGTGAAGAAGCCTCTAATGTTTTATCTCAGATGTAGCACTACCCGTCAATCTGTGGCTTCATATCAGAAAAAGTCAGAATGACCCCATTAGCTCTGACTTATGCGTGGCCTAAGCAATCAAACAAATTTAAGCTGAGGCGCATTTTGGAAATTTTGAAGTAACAACAACAAAAAAAAAAACTTAAAGAAAATAACACAAAAAGCAATAGGAACCCCTTCAAGGCCCTTTGAACGCCACTGGATCCTTTTAGCCCTTTAAGCCCCTTTGAATGCCATTACACTCCGCTTATACCCTCCAGCAGCCAGCCCTTTAAAACTCCATTAGACCCCTTTTTTTGTGCCCTCCAGACCCACTAAGGTTAGACATCACCAAAAAATATAAAGGTAACTCAGTGGGCACAGAAATGCCTCACCGACCGTTTTGGGAAGAACAGACACCTGGGCTTTTTTGACTCGCCTGAGCACCCCAGGCGGGCAGGCCTTGGCAGCCCTGGTAGCTTACAAGTGTTTTTTTTTTTTTTAATTAATTAAGCTCGCACTGTCAGGAACCTGGCGCGCTGGGTCCATTGAGGAGCCAGAGGCGGCCTGAATGCTCGGCCTGGTATCCCAGTTTTTTCTTAGCTTCATGAGGGATTTCCACTACTGTCTGCTCATGGCAGTACACAAAGTTGTCGAAACTGCCATGCAGAACCTTCACCTGTCTCTGGGATGGTGAACTAGTAATCTGTTTTACATGTGTCCCATTTTGCCAGCGGAATAATATTTGATCTCCCTGCCATTCTCGTGAATCACACCAGCCTTGTGCGGCAAAATGGTGCACAGATGATGCTGGTGACAAACAGATTATGCGTTTGAATTCTAATGGCTAAATAGTAAATACAAAAAGGCACCCTTTCTGTTCACTTCCGCCCGCACAAAGCTGAGTTTATCGTTCAATGCAGGTTGCTCTTGATTTCATCGGGAAGCGTGGTTCTACAGTTGGTGTGACAAAAGAAAAGCGTATCAAGTAAGTACTGTGCTATGGGGCGAGTGAGAACACCTAAGCTGTTTCTGGGTGGTACTCCATTCCTCTACTTTGCACTCCCTTTTCCTTTGATACTGTTTTGTTGGTGTTGGTGTTCTCTGTGGTTTTTTTTTTTTTTTTTTTTTTTTTTTTTTTTTTTTTTTTTTTTTTTTTTTTTTTTTTTTTTTTTTTTTTTTTTCTGTGTGTTCTCTTGGTTCTCACTCGGTCATTGCAGCGAAAGTTGTGACAAAGCTGTCTGACCTTGTTGGTTTCGGTCTGTGTTTGCCTGTTTGCTATTTTCAGTGAAATCCAGCATCCTTGTTTGCCTGTTTGTTGTTTCAGTGAAAGCCAGAGTACTTGTGTTTGCCTGTTCGTCGTTTCCCTCAGGGATTGGTCTCGTTGAGACTTAACCGCTAGTCCACAGACCCAGCCTTGCAGAAAGTTTTTGTCGCCACAAGCAAAACTCGGAGGCACAGTGCGGCCAGGCCCGCCATTGGAAAAAAATCGGCGATCTCCGACGTGGTGCGGGTTTCATGCTGACACCCATGGGCTGATATGTCGTGTACTGGTGCTTCAATAGTGAGAAACTACGCTGCCGGAGCCACACGGGGGTTAAGGAGCCTACCTTGCTAGTCGGGCTCGGGCAAAAAAAAAAGTGGGGGGGAGCTGGCTTTTATTTTTCGTTTGGTGAAGGGTTCACCTAGGGGATAAGCAAGTGACAGAACGATCACTAAGATCTGACAACATGCATTAGTGCAAAGCTTAGCGCAAAGCAAAATGAAGTCATCAAAGCGCTTGGTCGAACATCAAGTCAACTTTGACATCAAAAGAGAGAGTGAAAGCCAGACAAAGCTCCAGATGAAGTGGTTCCCCCTTGGGAGGTCTGGAGTGAATGAATGGGCTCAGAATCCGTGTCTTTATCTTTGATTTGGTGAATGGTTTGCTTTGGGGGGGCTGTTATCAGAGAAAGTGCCTTAGCGATTTTGTGTCTTTATCTTTGATTTGGTGAATGGTTTGCTTTGGGGGGGCTGTTATCAGAGAAAGTGCCTTAGCGATTTTATTTTTTGATCTTTAATCTTGTGACGAATTTTGAATTGGCCTTTGGACAAAGAAAAAGGTTTTGCTTGCAAAGTTGCAATCCTACACATAATTGTTTTTCTTTCAGATATATATTTTATTATTATTATTATTATTTTGTTTCTTGCTGGAGCTGCTCGGCAGAGAAAGGGAAGGGGGGGGGGGGGGGGGGGGGTCTTACAGATGTGCCTTTGTGATTTTATAAATTTATTTTATGATCTTCAATTTTGTGACGAATTTTGAAGTGACCTTTGGAAAACGAAAAAGGTTTCGCTTGCAATCCTACACATGATTGTTTTTCTTTCAGATATTTTCTATTTTCTTTTTTTCTTTTTTGTTTCTTGCTGGAGCTGCTCGGCAGGACCTCGCCGGGACCTCTGGCCCATCCTAGCCACTAGGTTGTGCACTACGTGTAGGGCAACTGGAGCCATCCTGGGCGTGTCAGCCTAGGTTCAGAAAAATCAAATTCCCACGTTGTGTGTCATAATTAGCAGGCGATAAACGGATAGTACAAGTGCTGTCTCTTATACACATCTAGATGTGTATAAGAGACAGCTCCTGAATCTTCGGAGGTCAGGCCCGACGATGACTGCCATTGATAAATCTGATGGGCGGCCGTCGTTTCGTTTCGGCCTCCTGAAAGGTCGGAGGCCGAGTATTTTTGAACCGACAAAGGTACTAGTGGTTTAAGACGAAGAGATCGTATATCCAGTGGTAAGACTGGCACGACTCTGAGATGGCCAGTGCAAGCAGAGCAGTCAACAGCAAGAATATGGACATGAGAGACGACAGCTAGCCGTTCAGTGCACGAGCAAGCAAGCTGACAATGACCCAAAGCCCAGTTCACCTGTGCGGCGACAGTTTCATTCTAGTTCATCAATCTGGCAGACTCAGGAAATGGTCTGTGAGTGAGAGGGATGAGGAGGAAATCGGCAAGCTGACCGTCAATCCTCCAGTAATGGGGTAATCAATGATATGCAGGTGTTCTTCAGCCGAACAGAAGGAAGCGCAAGCGTGTACTTAACTGCAAATGGTGACTTGACGGGCAATGCCAGGGAAATAGGAACCGCAATGCCACTCCCCAGAGTGGATATGGAGAGCCAGGATTGCAAGGGCCTGGGTGCTTTTCTTTTTTTTTTTCGGTTTTTATTACTTTTTAAAGACAAAGGAAGCGAACGACCACTCTTGCTGCAACTGTTGATCACAGCAGCAGCAGGTGTTTCGTGTGGACGTAGGAGATTTTCTGTGATGTCAACACCCTATGCTGAAGGATACCAAGGCTCAGATGTTTCCTGTGTCACAGGTTGATTAGGTTGAGTGTTTGAAGGTTTTTTGTGATGTCAACACCCTTCCTACGCTGATATCAAAATAATATAAAATGTTATTTGGTGTTGGGGTCAATTTATTGCCCAGGTATGCGAGGGAGATTCTGCAGAAGGAGACTCTTCCGCACGTCGGTGTCGGCGAGTTTTGTGAGACCAAGAAAGCTTATTACTTTGGGTGAGCCCTTGTGATTTGGGTTTTTTGTCCCAGTGTTTGGTTCCGAAGTCCATTGTCATTTCCGCAAGGCTTGTTCCTGGTGGTGAAAGAGTCCGTTCCAACCTGGTGGAAAGCTCAGCAATCCCAACTCGTGAGCTTTTTGGATCCTGTCAATTACCAACTCTGCAATCTTAATGTGAGCGGACTTCAACAAAGTCAAGAAGACTGTGGTTAGCTAATTTGACGCTTGAACCAATATGCGCCACGCTGTGACAATCTTTCACTCTTAATATCCCTCCTTTAACGTCCTCCTTAATGCAATCTGGATGGCTTTAGGGGGTGACAATTTTTCACCCTAGTTAGTATCATGTTGCTCATGGGTGATGATTGCTCAGCTCAGTTTTGAGCAGAAGTCTTCCTCCTTAACATCTTCCTTAAACCACCAGTACTTCCGAAAAAGGAGATTGAGCGTCGGCTAAAAAATAGGAGGCCATGAACCGCCGATTTTCATTTTATCGACGGTCCATGGCCTCCGAATTTTTAGGACAGGCTCAATCTGCTTTCTCGGATGTACTGGTGGTTTAACATTCGGCAGGACAAGAGCATGCCGGAAAAGGACAAGTGAGGGGATATCGATCGCTAGCACAAACTACCCAAGATGCTTGTTCGAGTCTCTTCACACTCGTATAAAGTATAGTAAAAGCTAATAACCTATGATGGTTAGGCTCAGCTCACCACAGTTTCGCCTGGTTGCTGGTTCCAGCAATGTGAAGAGGAACCGTAAGTTCTTCAGACCATGCTGTTTGATAGGTCTGGCTGTTTCTTTTCTTTTCTTTTCTTTTCTGGCTTTGGCTATTTGTCATGATTGTCGGTGTGCTCCATGGGCTGTTTGATAGATCTCGGTCTTCTGTGAACACAAGTTTCAGTCACTGGCTTAGATCCTCGTGGAGTTGGAAGTTGCAAGCATCGGTCCCAAGATGGTTTTGTGAATTTTGAGGGGTGACAGTGTTGTCCTGCTCGAATAAAAAAGTGTCTGTTGACCTTGGGAGTGCAGGTACATCATTCACCGTCTACTCCAGTGCGCACTTGGCCGGCGAAATGAAGATGATCGTGATCACTATGGCAACAAGCGGCTTGATTTAGCAGGTCCCTTGCTCGGTGGACTTTTCCGTCAGGTAATCCCTACTCAGCTACTGCAGATGCAATTAATGCTGCAAGAGGTGGCTCAAGTTGCGAAAGAGAGAGAGAGAGAGAGAGAGAGAGAGAGAGAGAGAGAGAGAGAGAGAGAGGAGTTGCCTCTCGACTGTCGTAGTAAGTGTAGGCTTCTGTTTGATGCTTGCCACCATTGTTGTCCTAGGCTGTGTCATTGTGCAGCTGGCGGTTTTGCTGGGATAAGTTACACTGAGAGCATAGACACATGATGCTTGCCTTTTTCCGGGGTGTCGCTACAATTTTGCTATTTCGTCGTTATCAGAGTGAGAGAATACTCAGAAGATAGTGAGTTGCTATGGGATGAAATCCGATGAACACAACAATCTGCCTGAGAAGGTGTGCACAATGTCGTGAAGTGCTGCATGTTGGGGCACGTGTACGTCTTTGGCAGCATGAGTATTGCGGATTTTCAGACTCTTTTTTTCTTCTTTCTTTCTATTTTTTGCTTTGTTTTTTGTTGGAGTTGTTCCTGATTATGTACATCTGTTGATCGGTTTCTGTGGTGCAGTTGTTTCGGAAGTTGACGAAGGATGTGAGAATGTACTTGCAGAAGGTAAGGGTGGTCAATGACGTCCGAGTTAGCTTTTCTGGATTTGAAAGTGTCTAACATTTCAATTTACCCTACATGTTAGCTTCTGGATCTGGAAGTGTCTGACATTTAAACTTACCCTGCATGAGTCAAATTGGAAAATTGGTGTTGATGCTGGTTAGAAACAAACCCCAGCCTGTCCTTCGGGACATCCGTTAAAATTGGAACGATACAGAGAAAATTAGCATGAGAAAAAAAGTCCCTGTTGATGCTGTGTAGGAGCCAATGGAGGCCCTTTTTGAGTAAAGTTCAGTAAACAAAACCTGTTTTAGAACATATTGCAACTTTTCAAGTTCGTTCTTTTTTGTTCTTTAAAAAAAAAAGAGGAAATGTGTCTTCTGCTTGCGGATTGAAAGTTAGTAGTCCTACCACTCGGAGTCAGCTGTCTATTTCCCGAGTCGGTTTTTTTTTTTTTTTTTTTTTTTTTTTTTT